CTCTCTCTCTCTCCCCCCCCCTCTCTCTCTCTCTCTCTCTCTCTCTCTCCCCCCCCCTCTCTCTCTCTCTCTCCCCCCCCCCCCCTCTCTCTCTCTCTCTCTCTCTCTCTCTCTCTCCCCCCCCCCTCTCTCTGTCTCTCTCTCTCTCTCTCTCTCTCTCTCTCTCCCCCCCCGCTCTCTATCTCTCTCTCTCTCTCTCTCTCGTCCGAGTGTGAGGTGATTATGAGTGTGAGGGTTAGGTTACGTAGCAGAGTATTTAAATCCCCCTTGGACGACGCTCCTCTTGACCGTGAATGATCCACATGTCCGGTATTATTATTATTATTATTATTATTATTATTATTATTATTATTATTATTATTATTATTATTATTAATGTGTAGAATAATGACATTTGACCTTGCAATCAACCTTTGAAACGCTGCGTTATGAGCACTAAGTTGGAGTGAAGGCTGTGTTGGATGAGAGCCTCTCAGTGGGCTGTTAGCGTCTCCTTCAAACGCTTTCTACTCAGTAATTCTCTTTATACTTTAGACTTTATGTTTTCCTTCCTCTGCCTCAGTCTGCTGACTGGACACTCGTTGTCACGGCGATGCCAGACAGCGACGCGCTGCGAAACCAACAGGAAGCCACCCAACACCGACGGGCGCAACAGAAAACAGCAGCAGAACACAATTAAATAAGAAACGGTATTTTCTTGGCCGCCGCCGTCGCGGTGTCCCTGTCCTCCGTTGCCATGCCAACAGTGGAGTGGAGGGATGGGGTGACATGTGTGATAGCAGGACTGGTCATCACTGGGTTTGATGTCCTCGATGGCACGAGCAAAACTCAGCCGAAGCGCTGCGGAGGAAACTCGTGAGTTTGTTGTGCGCTGTGGGGAAACTGTTGAACACTTTTCACAGGAAGTCTCCGGATACACATTCATCTGTTTCATTATATAATAACAAACTAACATACATAACATAACTACATTATAACTACATTATAACTATATAACTACATTATAACTACATTATAACTATACAACTACATTATAACTATATAACTACATTATAACTACATTATAACTATATAACTACATCATAACTATATAACTACATTATAACTATATAACTACATTATAACTACATTATAACTACATTATAACTATACAACTACATTATAACTATATAACTACATTATAAATACATTATAACTATATAACACATTATAACATGTATAACATGTATATAACACGTTATAACATGTATAACACATATACAACACATTATAACATGTATAACACATATATAACACGTTATAACATGTATAACACATATATAACATGTTATAACATGTATAACACATATATAACACGTTATAACATGTATAACACATATATAACACGTTATAACATGTATAACACATATAACATGTATAACACATATATAACACGTTGTAACATGTATGACACATATATAACACATATATAACACGTTATAACATGTATAACACATATATAACACGTTATAACATGTATAACACATATATAACACGTTATAACATGTATAACACATGTATAACACATTACAACATGTATAACACGTATATAACACATTACAACATGTATAACACGTATATAACATGTTATAACATGTATAACACATATATAACACGTTATAACATGTATAACACATATATAACACGTTATAACATGTATAACACATATATAACACGTTATAACATGTATAACACATACAACATGTATAACACATATATAACACGTTGTAACATGTATGACACACATATAACACATATATAACATGTTATAACATGTATAACACGTATATAGCACGTTATAACATGTATAACACATATATAACACATTATAACATGTATAACACGTATATAGCACGTTATAACATGTATAACACATATATAACACATTATAACATGTATAACACATGTATAACACATTACAACATGGATAACACGTATATAACATGTTACAACATGTATAACACGTATAACACATTACAACATGTATAACACATACATAACACATTATAACATGTAGAACACATATATAACACATTATAACATGTATAACACGTATATAACACGTTATAACATGTATAACACATATATAACACATTATAACATGTATAACACATATACAACACATTATAAAATGTATAACACGTATATAGCACGTTACAACATGTATAACACATATATAACATGTTACACCATGTATAACACATATATAACACATTATAACATGTATAACACATATATAACACGTTATAACATGTATAACACATATATAACACATTATAACATGTATAACACATATATAACACGTTATAACATGTATAACACGTTATAACATGTATAACACATATATAACACATTATAACATGTATAACACATATATAACACGTTATAACATGTATAACACGTTATAACATGTATAACACATATATAACACATTATAACATGTATAACACATATATAACACGTTATAACATGCATTATAAACATTATAAATAACGTCTTCTTTTCCTATGGCGGTCGACTTCTTTCCCACTCGTCTCTGATCTCTGAAATGAAATGTCTGCTGAAACCTCGCACACGTCTCACCAGAACGGGAAAACATCTCAACGCAAATAATGACTTCACACGCGTGTAAGGAAAGGTTTTGTTCCGTGTTTTGCTCCATTATACTCTGAATGTTTCTGTTCAACCATAATGGACGACTGCAACATGAGTAACATTTCAAACATTTCAAGTAAAAAATAAATGGAAAAAATGTTTCACTGAGTGTTCGCCACACCGGTTTATAAGAGCAAAAGTGTGTGTGTGTGTGTGTGTGTGTGTGTGTGTGTGTGTGTGTGTGTGTGTGTGGGGGGGGGGGGGGGGTGGCGATGTAATATTACATTTTAAGAGGGGTGACAGTTTCTCCAGTGAACAGACGGCGGTGGCGGCGGTGATGCATAGTGGTCCCTGTGATTAATGACCGGTCCTTATGGGATGTTTCTTTACATTAGTCTTGATTAGAGACTTCGTGGCAGTCCAACTCACACAAAGAGCACATGTGTGTGTGTGTGTGTGTGTATAGATACAAATATTCAATTAATAAGATGTACATCAATGTAATTGTGTTTTTTTAATCTATTCACCGTTTAATACTTTTTTCTGGTTTTCCATTTTATTCAGTTATCCGATGAAATGCGATCTGTTCCATGTAAATGTAATATTTGCCGTTTGGTGGACGCTTACGATGTCGTAAGCGCATCCATGTCTTCATGGGGGAGACTTCATGGGGGAGACTCCATGGGGGAGACTTCATGGGGGAGACTCCATGGGGGAGACTTCATGGGGGAGACTTCATGGGGGAGACTCCATGGGGGAGACTTCATGGGGGAGAGTTCATGGGGGAGACTTCATGGGGGAGACTCCATGGGGGAGACTCCATGGGGGAGACTTCATGGGGGAGAGTTCATGGGGGAGACTTCATGGGGGAGACTCCATGGGGGAGACTTCATGGGGGAGACTTCATGGGGGAGACTCCATGGGGGAGACTTCATGGGGGAGACTTCATGGGGGAGACTCAAGTCTCATTTGTTCAGAGTTCTCCTGGACTCTGCAAAGCCCCCCCCACCCCAAATAATAAACAAGTTTATTCTGTATATTCTGTATATTCGTACGTCCTGTAATTAAATAGTACTTAGCATGGTGTAGCATCTTAGCCTAGCTATCCATGCTGTATACTTAGCATGGTGTAGCATCTTAGCCTAGCTATCCATGCTGTATACTTAGCATGGTGTAGCATCTTAGCCTAGCTATCCATGCTGTATACTTAGCATGGTATAGCATCTTAGCCTAGCTATCCATGCTGTATACTTAGCATGGTGTAGCATCTTAGCCTAGCTATCCATGCTGTATACTTAGCATGGTGTAGCATCTTAGCCTAGCTATCCATGCTGTATACTTAGCATGGTGTAGCATCTTAGCCTAGCTATCCATGCTGTATACTTAGCATGGTGTAGCATCTTAGACTAGCTATCCATGCTGTATACTTAGCATGGTGTAGCATCTTAGCCTAGCTATCCATGCTGTATACTTAGCATGGTGTAGCATCTTAGCCTAGCTATCCATGCTGTATACTTAGCATGGTGTAGCATCTTAGCCTAGCTATCCATGCTAGACATCCCCACAGTCGTTTTATTGGACGTTTTGTAAGTTTCTTTTTTCAACAAAAGCTAAAATGTCTGAATGTGGAAATGCAAATATAATATTTGCCGTTTGGTGCTTACAATACCGCCAGCGGTGACCCATGTGGGACTCGAACCCACAACCCCTCACCTTGTTGTTCAAGGTGACCCATGTGGGACTCGAACCCACAACCCCTCACCTTGTTGTTCAAGGTGACCCATGTGGGACTCGAACCCACAACCCCTCACCTTGTTGTTCAAGGTGACCCATGTGGGACTCGAACCCACAACCCCTCACCTTGTTGTTCAAGGTGACCCATGTGGGACTCGAACCCACAACCCCTCACCTTGTTGTTCAAGGTGACCCATGTGGGACTCGAACCCACAACCCCTCACCTTGTTGTTCAAGGTGACCCATGTGGGACTCGAACCCACAACCCCTCACATTGTTGTTCAAGGTGACCCATGTGGGACTCGAACCCACAACCCCTCACCTTGTTGTTCAAGGTGACCCATGTGGGACTCGAACCCACAACCCCTCACCTTGTTGTTCAAGGTGACCCATGTGGGACTCGAACCCACAACCCCTCACATTGTTGTTCAAGGTGACCCATGTGGGACTCGAACCCACAACCCCTCACATTGTTGTTCAAGGTGAGGGGTTGTGGGACTCGAACCCACAACCCCTCACCTTGTTGTTCAAGGTGACCCATGTAGGACTCGAACCCACAACCCCTTACCTTGTTGTTCAAGGTGACCCATGTGGGACTCGAACCCACAACCCCTCAGCTTGTTGTTCAAGGTGACCCATGTGGGACTCGAACCCACAACCCCTCAGCTTGTTGTTCAAGCTGAGGGGTTGTGGGTTCGAGTCCCACATGGGTCACCTTGAACAACAAGCTGAGGGGTTGTGGGTTCGAGTCCCACAACCCCTCAGCTTGTTGTTCAAGGTGACCCATGTGGGACTCGAACCCACAACCCCTCACCTTGTTGTTCAAGGTGACCCATGTGGGACTCGAACCCACAACCCCTCACATTGTTGTTCAAGGTGACCCATGTGGGACTCGAACCCACAACCCCTTACCTTGTTGTTCAAGGTGACCCATGTGGGACTCGAACCCACAACCCCTCACCTTGTTGTTCAAGGTGACCCATGTGGGACTCGAACCCACAACCCCTCAGCTTGTTGTTCAAGGTGAGGGGTTGTGGGACTCGAACCCACAACCCCTCACCTTGTTGTTCAAGGTGACCCATGTGGGACTCGAACCCACAACCCCTTACCTTGTTGTTCAAGGTGACCCATGTGGGACTCGAACCCACAACCCCTCACCTTGTTGTTCAAGGTGACCCATGTGGGACTCGAACCCACAACCCCTCAGCTTGTAGGTGAGGGGTTGTGGGTTCGAGTCCCACAACCCCTCAGCTTGTTGTTCAAGCTGAGGGGTTGTGGGTTCGAGTCCCACAACCCCTCAGCTTGAACAACAAGCTGAGGGGTTGTGGGACTCGAACCCACAACCCCTCAGCTTGTTGTTCAGGGCTGTATGGCACACTGTGTTCTTCCTCATGACGTCCTAATAGTCAGATATCAGAACTTTAACGCTAATAATAAATCTTTAGATGCTGAAGTGGAGTTATGTTTTCAGAACAATCTGTTCCCTCGGCAACAGATAATATTAAAGTTTTCACAATCTTGTATTCCTAATTCCTCGTTTGTCTTTGTCTGTTATTGCTGCAGCATACAGGTGCTTTGAATTTGTTTGTATTTTATTATATTTCTTTACTGCCTCTCTCTCACCCGTCTCACCCGTCTCACCCGTAGGCCAGGCTCCCTCCCCCCTCTCTGAGGTCATTTCCTTTCATTCTTTCTCTACGGACAGGAAGAGATAGGAAAGCACCTTACACACACGCCTGCCCACACACACACACACACACACACACACACACACACACACACACACACACATGCGCACACACACCTCTGAACAACCTCATGATGTTGCCTCAAAAGATCGTCATAGCAACATCCTCCGATGAATATCTCATTAGGAAATAAAGACGAACCCATTTGAATGAACAAAGAAAAGGAGAGGACGGTGTGACACCTGTTTCGTTAGCAGTGGTGGAACGTAACTAAGTAACTAAGTACTTTTACTCAAGTACAAATGGGAGGTACTTGCATATTTCTATTTTCTGTACCTTATACTTATATAATATAATATATATTATTCTGAAATGGGCCATTCTGCATAATGTGTACATGTGACTTTTGGTACTTTAAGTTTATTTTGATGCTAATATTTAGTTATGAAGTAACATTTCCAATGCAGGACTTTTACTTGTAACAGTACTCCTGCAGTGTGGTGTTATTACTTTTACTTGTAACAGTAATCCTGCAGTGTGGTGTTATTACTTTTACTTGTAACAGTAATCCTGCAGTGTGGTGTTATTACTTTTACTTGTAACAGTAATCCTGCAGTGTGGTGTTATTACTTTTACTTGTAACAGTAATCCTGCAGTGTGGTGTTATTACTTTTACTTGTAACAGTAATCCTGCAGTGTGGTGTTATTACTTTTACTTGTAACAGTAATCCTGCAGTGTGGTGTTATTACTTTTACTTGTAACAGTAATCCTGCAGTGTGGTGTTATTACTTTTACTTGTAACAGTAATCCTGCAGTGTGGTGTTATTACTTTTACTTGTAACAGTAATCCTGCAGTGTGGTGTTATTACTTTTACTTGTAACAGTAATCCTGCAGTGTGGTGTTATTACTTTTACTTGTAACAGTAATCCTGCAGTGTGGTGTTATTACTTTTACTTGTAACAGTAATCCTGCAGTGTGGTGTTATTACTTTTACTTGTAACAGTAATCCTGCAGTGTGGTGTTTATTACTTTTACTTGTAACAGTAATCCTGCAGTGTGGTGTTATTACTTTTACTTGTAACAGTAATCCTGCAGTGTGGTGTTATTACTTTTACTTGTAACAGTAATCCTGCAGTGTGGTGTTATTACTTTTACTTGTAACAGTAATCCTGCAGTGTGGTGTTATTACTTTTACTTGTAACAGTAATCCTGCAGTGTGGTGTTATTACTTTTACTTGTAACAGTAATCCTGCAGTGTGGTGTTATTACTTTTACTTGTAACAGTACTCCTGCAGTGTGGTGTTTATTACTTTTACTTGTAACAGTAATCCTGCAGTGTGGTGTTATTACTTATACTTGTAACAGTAATCCTGCAGTGTGGTGTTATTACTTTTACTTGTAACAGTAATCCTGCAGTGTGGTGTTATTACTTTTACTTGTAACAGTACTCCTGCAGTGTGGTGTTATTACTTTTACTTGTAACAGTACTCCTGCAGTGTGGTGTTTATTACTTTTACTTGTAACAGTAATCCTTGCAGTGTGGTGTTATTACTTTTACTTGTAACAGTACTCCTGCAGTGTGGTGTTATTACTGTTTACTTGTAACAGTAAATCCTGCAGTGGTGGTGTTATTACTTTTACTTGTAACAGTAATCCTGCAGTGTGGTGTTTATTACTTTTACTTGTAACAGTACTCCCTGCAGTGTGGTGTTATTACTTTTACTTGTAACAGTAATCCTGCAGTGTGGTGTTATTACTTTTACTTGTAACAGTAATCCTGCAGTGTTGTGTTATTACTTTTACTTGTAACAGTAATCCTGCAGTGTGGTGTTATTACTTTTACTTG